ATATAGACAAGAAGCTAAGATAAACAATCAAAGTTCTCGAGTAATAGACTACTCGAATGCTAGCTACTCATCCGAAATCAACGATATGGCACATTTACCATCTACCAAACAACTCCACAAACAACACTGAACTTCTCTAATCGAATTGCAACATCACTTGACTATTTTTTTAATTTTTATATCCATTATTTTTATTTAGAGAGTAACTTTTTCCGAATAAGATCGAATCAAAAGGACAACAGTCTATAGGTGTGAACATTGGAGGTCATCCAACTGTCCTACAGTAGTTTCCCAATGCTCATTACTTGTCAACATGAATCGACTAGTAAGAGGAGCAGAATCCATTCGAATCGTCCTGTGAGCTCTCATGTTTTTTTTTTTTTTTTTTTTTTAATTAGGTCAAACAGTAGAAATCCAACTTCAATTCACCTTATTCAACAACAACACCATTTTCACCAATCATCACCAAAATCAGTCAACAAAATACATTCGTGTACGACTGACAAGAAAAAAGCTCAAAGCTCAAACGGACTACTAGGGAAAATAATGTTTAGGATTAAAGAACAAAGCTAAAAAGAGCTAATCAAACAAAACGCCTCAATCACTTTCGCAATTTCAACCTCTAATCGATTCCTTTCAAATAAACTCAAGGCAAGTTCTAATCATTCAAGAATATGATCAATATCTCACAAGAAAGAAGAGTAAGGATCAGGACTTCACAAGGCAAATAAATGTCACTCAAAGCAATCAAGCAAATACCGAGGCAATGACCACACGTTCGTTATCACAACTTCTCAATTTCATCAAACATTTATCAACAATTCATATAATTCACCAATACCACATGCTCAAAAACAAAATACTAGAACTAGACCGGTCCACCACATAAGCATGCAAAATCCAAATAGACTCCCCCACACTTAGAATGAGGCAATGACCTTATTGCTTCAACACAAAACAGGAAGTCAAATAGAGGACCTAGGAATTTCATATCATGAACCAGTACCACAAACTACCACAGAAACACAAGACTCAAAAGAAAGGACAGGTGGAGAAAACAAACGAAAAATAAAAAGGGAAAAAAGGTGTGTAAACCGAAAACGCCTCGTGGAGAACGAGCATCCACGTGCAAGTCACTCGCCCACACTTCGCTCATAACTCGAGCTCGAAATCTCGTACTTGCCAAAAAAAAGCACAAAACTCCAAACTCCTATTATTCCGAGATTAAATAAAAGAGCATAAAGAAAAATATCTAAGAAAGCAATAAATCACTTGGGTTGCCTCCCAAGAAGCGCTTGTTTAACGTCATTATCTTGACGAAACTTGTGAGGGAATCAACCAGGATCTAGAAAGAAGTGACAGTCGTGCCACGCCTTCGTATTTTCAAGAAGTGGCAGTATGAGCAATGTGGCAAGAAGGCGGGCATAGTGGATCCGGGTGGCAATGTTCTGTATGAAATGGGTTCGGGCACGAGCAATCCCCAAAAATTGACATAGAGGTTTTCCCACCCGATCTCTATCATCAACCTCAGGGATAATGAGCACATCCGTGGAACAAGTCGAGCAAAATCTGGCCCACTTGGTAGCACGATGTAATGCTCCGAAGGTGAATGCTCCATCTCGGTAGCGGGAGGAGGGACTCGAGAAATAGTGTCGTGGAATTCTTGGTCAAGTCCATGTATCTCCTTCTCCGAAACATCGTCGTCCTGCTGGAGCGCATTATCTTCCTCTTCGGTCTCACACATGTGCATCAGAATACATGTTTGGGCACCAACCATAAGATGAGAGTCATCGACTTCCAACTCGATAGAGTCGAGACGTGCCATTAGATTCTCCATTTGAGCGCTCAGTCGAGCACACCCGAGTTAAATCTCACCTTTTCGGTTTGCTTGGGCCATGACACGATCGAGGATGAGGTCAAGTTTGGCATTGTATCCCGAAAATTCACTCTCAAGCTCATCGAACGGTATGTGTGTCGGATATGGGTCCACAACCATATGCTTATTGGCCCGTGACTCGATAGAGTCAATGCGCCTTGCTAGACTCTCAACTTGTTCGCTCAAACGGGCACATCTGAGCTCAATCTCCTCTTTCCGGCTTGCTTGGACCATCACTCGAGCTAGGATTAGCTCAAGTTTTTCGTTGAACGCGACCTCTTCTTCCCGAGCTGATTGAGATGTTAAATCAATAGTTTGGTCGAGCTAGACGTTGAATTCGTGGGACTCATGAGACTGCTCGACTGGGAATGGATCCCAGTACTGCTCGGAAGAATATGAATATGACTAGTTGTGGTACCCGGCGTGATAGCTCGACTCGTAACTCAATGTTTGGTGTGTGAATAGGGAAAAGCACGGTTGAAGTTCATTTCTCCTGCACACCAAAATAGAAAATACGCAACCACGAAAATGAAGGAAAAAAAGAACGAAAACTAAAACAAATACAAAAAGAAAAACAAAGATGCAAACAAATGATACGAACACGAAAAACACAAAACAAAGAGAAACACGAAAAATAAAATCAATACTAAAACCAAATATCCTACTTGCCTTCCTCGACAATGGCGCCAAATTTGTTGTAGCACAAATTGTTATTTTTACCGAGTACCGAATCGAAGATTCGTTTCCCAGGTCGATCACACGAGGAAGGCGGTTCGAAATTTATCTTTGATATTGATAACACATAAAAAGAAAATAAAACCTAAACATTCTAATCACGATTGGAAATATAATAATTACCAGCTAAGAAATAATATAAAAATAATAATCTACCTACAAATGCAAATGAAACAAGGATGGAGAAGCTATTTAATTCAAGTTCTAGGAAAGTCGGGCAATTCATTATTCGGTTCTAGATTGTCACTCTCACTTAGACATCTAGCGGTTCACTCCCAATAACTCTTCGTAACAAGGGATTGAACATAGACGTACAAGCTCGAGCATACAATACAAGCCAACTATCCAAATCCCAATAACTCACTACAAGAAATTGCATGTATCGTGACAAAATTCGTGTGACGAAAAAAAATTCGTCACCGTTGATTGTCTTATGGTGACGAATTTGACAATTTGTCACTACATTTTTGTATACTGCGACGACTACTACTTGCGTCATAAACGAATTTGTTTTTCGTCACATATTCATAATTTACATGACAATACATCTAAATTCGTCATCTTTACATAAAATATGACGAAATTCCATGTGACAAAATAAATAGCGTCGTTGTTAAAGTTTTTTAGGATGACGCTTTTCAATAATGCGTCGTAATATAATTTTGTATTGTGACGATATATTACACTACATTTAAATTCGTCACAATAATATATAATATGACGAAGTGCAATGTGACAAAATAAATGTCGTCGTTTTTATGATATTTAAAATGACGCTTAATAATGATTCGTCATTATAGAATTGTGTCTTGTGACGATATATTACAATGGATCTAAATTGTCACAATAATACTTTTTATGACGAAATACAAAGCGATAAAATACGTGTCGTCATTCTTGTTGATATTTGAAATGACGTTTACGAGTAAATCGTCATTATGTGCTTGTGTCTTGTGACCATACATTACATACATCTTTATTCGTCAATGAAATACATATTATGACGAATTTTACGATGACAAAATAAATGTCGTCGTTTGTTTTGGTAACTACAGTGACACTTTTACAATCGTCATTACATAATTTTTTATTTTTATACTATCAATTTATGTTATTTTTATACTAATTTACCTGATAAATTTTAATTAAATATTATCATTAAATAAATATTTACTAAATAAATAAATGTATTCAATTTTAATTATACGTTTCTATGGAATTTTATATTTACTATTTATTATTTATTATATTAATAATTATGTATTTTAGTATTTATTATTTAAATAGAAAATATAGTAAATAATAAATAATATAATAAAATAGAATTAAATAAAATATATAAACTACAGAATAAAACAAAATATTATATTTTTATTTATTAATTATAGTTGTTTTTAGTACGTAATTAATATATATAAAATTAGAAATATCAATGCAATAAAATTAGAATTAATTAAATTAAATGAATTCAAATAATAGCACACTTTAATTATAGTAAAAGAAATGTATATTTGCATTAGCAACACTAATTATAGCACACAATATATATATATATATATATATATATATATATATCAGTGTAAGCAAATTAGGTTCACCGTACAACACAATTTTACCTCGCA